GGACTGGAACTTTTGACTGCATTTCGGCTAGCTATTCAGCAGGTCGGTTGCCTGTTTAGTTAAATTCCTGTCTTCTTCAAAAGCCGGCGCCCCTGTGCAAGCACCGGGTGGGTGTTTGTGCCTTCACAATATCGCGCCATTCAGATACCCAGATTCAGATGCTGGAGGCATCGCAATAGTGAGCGTTCATGTAGATTGGCTGTGTCTCGCCAGTTTTTTTAATCATGCAACACTTTCTATGCATTGATCGGCACATTTGCTTGAATCCAGAGCTCGGACATCCGTTTGAAATGTCAACAACTTGTTCTCCAAGACCGTCCTGTCGGGTTCCCTAAGCGGCTTGCGGCGCAAGGCCCCTCAGCTGCGATTCGTTTCAGGTCAGCCTTTGCCCGCGCGGCTATGGGCGAACCGCCTTCCATCTCTTTGAGATCCTGCAGTGCCTGGGCCGAAAGCAAAGCTAAGAGGTCCCCAAGGAAGTGACCCGATTTAGGTAGTTGTTTGTGGCAGGTCCTTTTTCCAGATCAGTACGGGGCTTTGCGACGGTGCTTTTACCACGTCGCTTTCTGTTCCCGCGCGTGTGTGGGTGTGTCGAATGCTGGAATGTTGTAAATTGAGATGTTCTTGCCGTTGCTTGATGCGAATTCGGCTTTTGATTGTGCGGCTCGCGGTCTGTCGCGCCCATGGCCGTTTATTGGTTCTTTTTCACCTTCGCAGACAATGAACCATCCTGGGTGGAGCAGAAACCCTGGCCAGCTAATAGTGGTGCCTTTGTTCTGCGAATAGCTTGTGTTTCGAAACTGCAGGACCCTAGGCCCTAGGCTTCTTTGGGTGTCTCTTTCACCATCTGGGCTCCAACTTTTGGACCCCCGACCAAAAGTCGGCCCAACAAGGACCGATTAGGGCAATGGTTTGCATAAACTTTTAAACAAGGCGGAAGGGAGATTAAGATGGTTGGGACTCATTTGAAGGATGGGCCATCAGGCTTCAGGGGTGTGCTCCTCAGTGTGGTCAGCCCTTTCAAAGATCCACAACAGTGCTGCTTCCTCATCAGACTGTCGGATTTTTGACCGAGCAGCAGGCAACAAGGCAGATTGGACTCCTTTGGTGAATTTGCTTGGATGTTAGGACTTTAACTTTTTGCCAACTACTGGGTTTTCCATTAAACCATTATAAAAGTTAAACTTTTAGCAGAGGAGCAGAAAGCAACCGAGACTCGTGGTACGTTTTAGAGTCATCTTATTTTTGGACAAATCTCCAGTGACAACCTTGGCCACCACGATCTGACATCACATGCGACTGCCCACATGGTTTCCCGGAGCTTTGAAGCGACTTTCTTCTGGAAAGCTTCCCTTCTGACTTTTGATCATGAGTTTGAATAGCATGCAGTGCTCTCTGCCCGTGGGCACTCGGTTCCCTGGCCATTGGGCATTCTGGATTGGGCGGGATCCACGGACACCAGAAGCCTGCGATACTAGGAACTCATGAGGGGAGGGAAGGATCCAGGCTATTTTTGGTCAGGGAACACATGTACTCTTGTTTTTGTTGTTTTGGTGTGTGTGTGTGTGTGGGTCCTTTGGTCCACCTCATCAAAGGGCAGGTGTATGAATAATAATTAACATGCAGGCCTTGTCAATAGGTTTTTGGATGGGGCATGGACCCCCCTTAGACGCCCGAGCCAGAGTTTTCATGATCCGTAGCTGAGGCTCGGTTTGATCCCTGTCCATGCGGGGAGCTCAGCAATGTGAGCGCGTCCGCGAATGAGAGTCGCCAGAATCGGTGGGTTTCAAATTAGAGGATGGTTTCGCTGCAAAACAGTCCGTAAAGGGTACCTTGAAAACACATACCCGCGTAGGAAAATCCAACCATGCCGCGATGCGGTTCACCCATTAGGGGTGAAGTCAAGGGCCAAGGTTGAAAGGTGGGCTCAGGCTAGATCCAGAAAAGGGTTCAATGCCACAAGGCAAACTCGGGTTTTGTTGGGCGTGCTCTGTTGATTGTAACTCATGGACCGTCACCCAGACCATTTTCCAATGGATGACATTTTAGAGCACCTTTTCGCACTTGGGTTATGACCCCTGAAGGTTAACAAATAAGTTAAACAAGTCACTCTCAAAGATTGTTCGCATCGAGCTGCATGTTGCCCTCAACTCAGCTTTAGTGGCGGCAGCTGACATCGGCTTTTACCAGATTCCATCAGCATGAGATTGCGAGCCATTCTTTGGAACTTGCCCTGAGGCTCCATGTAGCTCACGTTCGGCTAGAAATGGCAAATGCAGTTGCAGTTGCAGCTATATACATTGAACCCTCTTGAATACTGAAGTTGCAAAGCTTCTCCGGGTTCTGGATTGGGAGTATGGGCTGCAGTTTATCGGGGCTGGAATTTGCTTGGATGTCTTCACCTTTGCTACCTTGTTTGTGGCATGGATATTTGCCAATTTGTTTGGTGAGCAGTAAATCTCAGCGATGATTAATCTGGGGTGTCCAGCGTTCCTTCGGACATGCTTGCGATTTCACATGCGGGTTGCGAGAACTGAAGCCGATTGCGGTTCACTTGTCTGACTTGGAGTTTGCACCATGCGACCGTCTTTGAATGGGATCCGTCTTTGCTCAACTGTTGTGTTTAGTATTTCCCCGAGTTTCCCGGAAACATACGAGTTTTCGCAAGCGGCCAAGCAACCCTCCTGCCGTGTTTGGCACATTCTTTTCAATCAGTGCAAACAGCCAGCTGGATGTATTCACGCACTATGCTTCATGCTCTGATCTTGAGCACCTATCAATAATATTGAGGGCTTGCACATCCATTGACGTGCGTAGGGTACCCAAGATTGAAGGCTCTTCCATGTTTCAATTGCTAGGTTTCTTCTCGTCTTGAACACGTATCGCACGGGGATGCGAACTGCGAGTATTTGCATTCAACATTGCACTTCAGGCTCTGAACTGGGTGTTTCCCAAACTGTTTTGCATTTTAGGGTAAACTGAATATAAGGCAGAAATAACCACATTTTGTTCAACCCCAGCTAAGCTTCAGACCTCAGGTCTTCTTGGACATCCCCTGGGTGCCCTATGCAGGCGCCGCTTTTTCTGTGAATGAACGAGATGTGATCTTCATGTTGCTGTGTGCTGAATAGCACGTGTTCGTGTGTCCCAAAGGAACCCAAAAGGGGATGGGTAAGTTGAATGTCTATTTAAACCCCCAGAGTGTTTAAGGATTCATGGGGGAAGTCTCCTTTTCCTAGACAAATGGAAGTGGACAGGGGAGGCCTTGCCCAGAAGGAAGGTCACCTTCCAACGCCTTCCTGTCAGGTTCCATCGTAGGGCAATTATATGCTGGTTGCAATGTTCAAATGCTTGAGGCATATTGGCTTGTTTGTCTTTGGTGCCCTTCATTTGTGTGTTTGTTGCCCAGCAAACATTCAATCACCGCTCCTCAAGCTTGGGAGTTGAATCAACCCGAGGGTATGTTAAGAAAACCACGTGTTTTGAGCAGGGTCTCGAATATTTTGTAAGCGTTTGATGAAGAACAATAAATAATAAGTCAATCCAGAGACTTGATCGGATTTCTGGTTTTGGTTTTTGAAAGAAGGTGTTTCTCAGCCCTTGTCGGTGTTGCCTTTGATGCACTGGTGTGGTTGGGCTTGTTGGGGGCCTTGGGTGTTTATTTAAAGGAGGTGCTTCTCGGCCATTTTTGGTCTTCGGTCGGTGTTACAGTGCCTCCACTAGTGTGGTCGGGTTGGTCTTTACCACCTTGGTGTCCTTTGCTCAGGGGCCCGAGAATTGGGTGTTCGTGCTTTTGGGGCAGCAGCGCCAATTTCAACAAACTCTGAGCCAGAGGTGTGCTAAGTTGTCAAAAATGTGTTCGAGGAAAATCTTGTCTGCGCCTTTACATGTAGTACATGTAGCCGCCTGAAAAGATATTGAAAAGTGAAGAACAAGTCTCAGGCAAGCTTGCCAGGATTCAATCCTATCACCCTCCGTCTCCGGACACAGTCCACTGCCCTCTGAGATAAAGAGTGATGCCATGAGACAAGCCTCAAGGACATTTCTTTAGATTTCTCAATTTTGTATAGCCGAGCTAGATGTACTACATCCAAAGGTGCATCACAGGGCAAATCAAGGTTCGATGACTTAGATATTTTCCTCGAACGCAGTTTTGACAACTTACCACATCTCTGGCTCAGAGTTTGGAAATTGGATGAACAATGGAAACCAAGGTGGTCAAAACCAACCCGACCACACTAGGGCTGAGAGTTGGGGCTCGGCTTTGATTAATTATGCTGGGCAGTTTCAGTTTTTGTTTTTTTCCCCCGAGCGGTTGAGAGTCTTAAATAGTTACTTCTGGACCATTTGAGGGTATAATTGTTTGCTTCATAAAATGTCTTAACACATTGACGGACCGTATGTGGAAAATTACATTTTGCAAATACAGCTGAATCTTAAGGGCCTTCAGCGGAAGCACATCAGTTTGCGGCAAATCAGCTTCTCAGTTCGCACAAGCTGTGCCACATTCAGCGAGTGAAAGCGGAGCCACAAGTTGGGAGGCTCATTAACACACAAAGTTCGTGTTTGGGGAGCAAAGCCCCCAGGCAACTTGATTTGGAAGTTCTGGCGTTCGATCACCTTTTTCGGAGTTTCATCACAGGGACTGGCCTTTTTGGTCTGACAAGCAGTACAGGACTTCTATTGCAGGTCTTACACGCCCGGGAACTTTCATAAAGGCACGGCACATCCATGCATTGGTAGGGAAATCTGTTGGAAGCCTTTTGAAAGAATGAGTACTCCATGTTAGTTGTTTGGAGGCTAAATTGGCATATTGGGTTTGTGCCCGGCATCATTTGTCTTTGTTGGGCAACACACATTGACAGCTACAATCGAACCACCACTGATCCAACCAACATACTTTGCATCTTCTAGTTCCGAAAAGACCCGGGCCACGAAGCAACCGTTCAACATTGGGAACACTTCAAACTTGAGGCAAGCCAGTTGGCCGTGGGTCAACTCCAATGGTGGTTGGATTGGGATGTTTTCACTGGGGGCTAACCGGGGTTTTGACCCATAGCCAGTGGAACTTCTTGTTTTGGAACCCCCCAGGTCGCTCCGGCCAAGCGAGTGCCCCTTCGGCCAGACCTCTTTCCCTCCATCGGCTTCACGACGGACGTGCGGGGCCTGCCGAACCTCCTGGAGAGGATCCATGGCGGGAAGCTCAACGGATCAGATGGGATGGGCGCGCGTGTGGGCTTGTGTTTTTGGTATGATTGAGGGGAAATTGTGGGAAAAAGGGTGTAAAATGTGTGTGTGTGTGGGATTGATTTTTTGGTACATTGCACAAATGCAAGGGACATGTTGGTATGATGAAATACAGGTGTAACCTTCCCGGAGTCTGGCATTGTTTCCAAACGACAAGGACTGTCATGGGACATTGGCAACCAAGGGTATCATAAAGATCTCTAATGAAAACTGGCGGGAATGGATCGAGGGACCTAGGTTTGGATTCACTACCCCGGTTCAACATCCGGCGTGAATCGTTTTGGGAAGACTTTCTTGCATGTGGTACCCTTTGATTAATCAGGTATGCGCACTAGAAAGACAAGTTCGTAGATGGCTTATGCTAGTATTCATAGGGTTGCATCTATCCAACTGGTGCTGGGATTGCCAATCCACAGCACGAGGTCGATAAAGATAACATAGAATCCAACACTGAACTTGCTTTCGCGCGGTCACCTATTTTGACACTTACCCGTGTTGAGACAGACTCATGCATAGTCGGGTTTGCTGCCTTTGGGCCAGAATGGGTTTGCTGCCTTTTGGCCAGAATCTTGTTGTTTGGTTGGGGGCAAAAGCCGAGGTAGAAGAGGTGTTGAGCAGTACAAGCGTTCCTTGCTGAATCACCAGGTTTCGGACCCCGTTTTGCCACACCCAAGCCTTTGCTTGTCCTCCATGTTGCTTCTTCTTGGGCCAACCACATCGAGATGGGTCGGACCCAGGAAGGTCCAGCCCCAGCTGAGACGCCAAAAAACAGCCCCTTACTTGGTGGTTTGGGATTTGAACCCCTTTTTGCAGAGGGTGCATGGGACAACCCGCTTGAACCACCACGGCGCTCCATAGGGCTGACATCCGAGGTATGGAGCTCGCAGAGCTTGAGGCCATGGAGGCGGGATCTTAAGCTTTGAGGGAAGTCAGATGGGTGTGCTTTGGTTTCCAGTAAGTTTCACTTGGTTTCCCTTGGTGTGATTTGTTGTTTTTTGGTTTTCAGTGCCCCTCACCCTGGGTTGATTCACATTTTTGCAGGATTTGGACCCCCAAATAAATACAATGTTGCTGGTTTTCCGTTGGTTTTGCTTGCAAACCAAACAAAAAGGGTACCCTCGAAAAGACACATCCGCATGGAACCTGAAAGGGGACTCCATTGACCAGTTTCTGAAAATGAGAGTTGCGGATGACACGCGGAACCCTAGCTTAGACTCAGACACTCAGTTGTAGAATCGCCATTTGTGAAATGGAGCCCCCTTGGCGGGTTTGATTTATAGGTGGCTGTCCCACTACTGAGGGAAGCCAGATCACTTTTTGTGGGAAATAGCCCCAAAGCATCCACCAGGTTTAGTCATCCGGGTTGGCATTAGGTCCCACGCCAAGAAGCCCCTTTGATTCTTTGCATGGATTTGGGTATTCACTTCAGAGGCATTAGGCAAAGACGATGACTAGTTCTGCCTTGTTTGAACCCTCGCCTTTCTTGTGACTTGTCTTCCACGGTGGCATGTGTGTTGTTGTAGTTGCTAGACAAATCCTCGAAGTGTCACGTCACGTTCCAATGGTCCCAATTGGAGGATCCAAGACCATCCTGGTCATTCCGTGTATGCAGTTCTTTTCTACAGAGCACAAATGGGAATGCGCTACAACGGACCTTCGTCTTCTTCTCGCGGGCTTCAGGTTTCCTTTCAAGAGCTTGACCAACCGAACAGAAGGCGGCTGTGTTGCCTCCTGGACGTCTTTGGCAGGTCAAGGGCAGAAACGCGCACACATGGCGTGAATGCCCCTCTCACGTTCCTGATACTCCTGGAGGGGAGAACGAAGGACATCCCTTTTGGGGGCAGGAACACTCTTCGAATGATCCACCAGGGTGCGCAGTTAAAGCTTGCAACGGGTCAGTCGCGAGGCGAAGGTTCGCGAGCTGAGGCTGGCCGGAAGGAGTTGAGTTAGGGTTGGGCAACATTTGTTAAACAACCAAGCCCTGGTTCTCTTCAAAGGCATGCCAAAAGGAGGTTGTTTCAAGCACAGCGGTTTTAGAATATTTAAGCAAAGGAGTAGTTGAGTTCCAGGAGGGCAATGGATTCCCAGCTGTTCTTCCTGGCTAGCCTTTCATTGGCTGGGGGATCCAGATGGTTGGTGTGTGGGGGACAGAGCCACTGACACACAGGCACACAGCCACACCAACACACAGAGACGCCGAACACAACGCACACACAGACACAGACACAGACACAGACACAGACACAGACACACAGACACAGACACGGATACAGACACAGACAAGCACACACACACACACGGACACTCGGACAATGGAGCTGGGGCTAGCTGCGGCATGTCGGACCTGTTCGCAACCAGATGCGGCAGTGCAGCCGAGGGACGGCGTGTCCAGCCCCAGAGCGGTAGGAGATTCTTTTAAGGACCTGACATTTGTAGACATTCCCCCGTGAAAGGAGGACGGTTTTGCTTGTCGACAGTGAATGGTTAGTGCAATTAGGACTCAACACTGAGGTTGGTCAGGATTTGCAGTAGTCTATGATCCATGTGGTGTGGATATCAGAGAACTCGCCAAGTTTCGTCCGGGAAACCCAGGCGACCGTTTATGCTTTCTCATGTCCTTTCAGGGGAATCATTGTAATTTTGTCCGTGGCTGTGGCGGGCAGGTCCAGCCACTTCACAGACGAGGGCCTGCTAAATCAGATCTCGCTTCTCGGACGGCAACAAGACACCTTAGCTGAGTCATATTTGTTAAAGACAAGAAGAACTTGACCATGACCGGCCATATCAACCGTACAGCAGACAATCGTCTCTAAACTCTAGGCTCGCTTCAAGTAAAATCAGAAAGAGAAACCGTTGGAGGGGATGGAATCAGCTTTGTTGAGCATAAATGGTACATTTGGCAGGGTCACCTATTTGTCCCAAATTCCCAAATGATAAGTATCTGGAGGCATTCTAATCCGCGCGGTATGGCGGATTCCCCCAATATGGAAAGTAACGCAACAACACACCATGGTACCATAGCAGGCTGCCCGGGGTCCCGATACCTAAATCGTTCGAGGGACTTCACCTTCTCACGAGAAGGGGCAACCATTTTCTACCAGGAAGTTACTGAGACCCCGGACCTCAGAGCTTTTACTTTCTGCTTTGGTTTCGAAACCCCAATGGATTGCCAGGAAGCGCCTTGGCTGTTGTCTGTTTTCTTGTTCTTCCTTCGCCGTGATTGTTTGGCTCCTTTGTTTTAGTTTTTGGCTCTATGCCTGACTTGGCAAAACCAGCCTTTCGAACTCTCGAATTTTTGTTTGTTGTCTTCGATTTGTGTCTGGGAACCAAAGTAACAGTTCAAACGTATTCAACCGTTGAAAGCCCTCAGATTGCAACCAGGAGTATTGATCGCCGAGAAGTCCTGAGGTTGTTCATGAAGAGCGGGCACGGTGACCTGCGCTGCCAGCGCGTGCCGGAGACCATGAATGGCTGACGCCGGAAAAGCGGGGATCGGACTCGGCATTCGGGGTCTGTCTCAAAAGGATGTAGATTTTAGGGACGTAGACGAAATCTGAACCACAGTCTGTTTTTGCATAGGTGCCCAAGAGTTGGGCCTTCGATGAAACCAGACCAAGTTTGGACCTATGGCGATGAAGAACTGGTGTCGAAGAACAAACAGAGATGGGGGACATGGGGAAGGTTTTCGTCAGCCTTGGGGAAGCTGTCGGATGAGTCGGATGCCTAAGGAACAAGGAACCGGGTTCTTCCGCCATTCTTGGTGTCCCCCAGTCCCTACGTGTTTGCGTTGCTGAGATGGGGTGCTATTACGAAAAGGCTGCAATTCAACTGAAGTAGGCCCGGCTTGTGGTCCATCAGGGAATTTGCATGAGCCGTGATCTTTTCTAGTTGGGAAATTATCCATTGCTTCTGCGTGTTGGGTGGGTGAGATCTTTGGCTTGCAATACAATACGCAGAAATTTATACATTTACTTTGGTCAGACAGGTTGGTCAGCTGTTGGCACAGGCTGATTATCCAAGTAGATGTGCCAGGTCGCGTGCATTTGTTGTGGCATGTTTCCCTTGACTCAGATGGCCCCTGCATTCGCTCTGCTTTCTAGGTGTTTGCAATTGGTTTGGCTCTGCACTTTGACAAGTCTGTTGCGCAGCCAGCAGGGCGGCCAGTAATGCATACTATAGAAACATTCGGGACGTGATGTCAAGGCCTCGATCAGCTTGTTTGATTATTAAAGAACAACATGGCACAATCCTTTCGCTGATGGTGTGGTCAATGTGTTGAACTTGATAGCTGGCCGAAGTCAGCCAGAGACCAACCCGCTTCCGTTCTTTCGTGGGCATTTGGCTCAAAGGCCGAAAGACTCTTGCGGCCGTGAAATCGACGCCTAGCGCGCTGACCCAGAAAGCTCCCTGCGTCAGCGCGCGGGCGCCAGTGAAGCTTTTCCGACACCCGCCTCCCTGCGGCGTAGTTCGGGAGAATTCCAAGCCAAGCCTGCGGCTGATACATGTGACGCAAATTCGAAAATATTGCAGGTGTTTAGCATCGATATATGACGTTTTCTCAAGCAGAAAGACTTCTGCAGGATCGGAAAAACAAAGAAAAAGCTAAACACTTAAGGTGTACTTGGCCGCAGGTGTAGGCGCCTCACCTTACAGCAATGAACGGCTGCCTGCCAACAGTCTTCGCTGCTCGGCGGCAGAACCTCTCCAGGAAGTTCACAGGCATTTGGGGTCTAAGAGCAGCCCTTCAAACCGGGCCCATAGATTTTGGGCCCCTAAAATGTTGAATGACTCGTCTGACTCGTGACTCTGTAGCCCTTTGGTTTGGCCTGTTCAACGGCAAGAAAGATCCTTCACTTGGGTTGAGGAAGCATTTGGTACCTTTGTAGTGGTTCAGAATAGGGTTTCTGGCCTAGGATTTGCCAACCCCTCGTTTTGAACAGCCCAGTCTGCGACTCTTCAGCACTGTGTTTTTGCTTGTTCACGGTAGAGGGGCTCTTTGTGAAGGTCCTTGGAATGGAAGATCGGTTGCACCACCGACCCCGGGTTTATGTACGGGCATTGATATGAAGGCCAAGATACAACCTGCTTATACAGAAAGGGTATATCTTGTATCCAGCTGTGTTGCAATGGAACCTACGCGAGGGGTATACATCTGCGGCGTTCGTTGCCACTTTGCATTCGCCTCTCGTGGGTCAAAGAGAAATCGCCAACACGATTTGTGACTCGGGGTCCATGTCAAAGGAGGCCCCATTGTCTACAGGTGCCCATTGCTTCCGATTCCCTTGGTGGGTGATTGGACAAGCATGTATAATTATCCAGCAGAAGCCCTGATTTCTACTTAGGCGTGGGGAATGTTTGGCCAAGGTAGGTACTCGAGTTCTAAACCACTAACAGTAAGCTTAGCTCCACTCATGGGGATTTAAAGTGGATTACAAGCGAAGTGTCCAACAACTTACTTGGCAGCACTCCAAGTACCTTGATCTTTCCGTGGATGCTGTCAGGCAAAATCAGATGCCTGTGTGATGTTGGTCATCCTGACATCGCCAGTTTAGGTGGCAAACCCAAAATCCCCAGCTCCAGCTCTAGGTGCAAGAACGAGGTAGCAGAATCAGACACACCCAAAACGCAAGCAAGTTGACAATTCAGCGTAGACATCTTCATTTATCTCGTACTTTTTGGTGCGCTTGTTTTCGCTGGCAGAATGCACGCACGGCTTGGCTTGGCACAGCTTGGCCCAGGCCTGCGGTTCTCAAGTGCCCCTGGAGGCGCTTTTCCAAACGCAAACCAATGTCCCCAGCCCTGCGTTTTTGGGGAGAACCAAAGCTCAAAAAGCCTTGAGAAAGCCCAAAAAAAATGCAAACCTAACGCAAAAGCCAAGTCACCATTCAAACCCATCTGTGCGGTTTTGAGTCCGGCTCAGAGATCTCGCGAGTTGCTATCCCAGGACCTGCTGCTGGTGCCGTGTTCGAAGTTTTGGACCGGGGCGGTTGGAGGGTGTTGGCGAGGTGAAGGATGTGGGGCACGTTGGGGTGCTTTTTTATGAGGGTCCCAATCTTGGTCGGCTTACAGGGGCAAGCAAACGAACAACAACCAGTTTAGGGGGGTACCACTATTTTGAGACACGCCTATGTGTGAACCCCATGTTCACAGTCATCACGGGTTGATGACCTTCAATGGTAGTTTTCGGGTAGGGTGATGGTTGAAGCCGAAATGAAATGAATGAAAAAAACAGTTAAAAGAGGTGGCGAATCTCTACAACACACAGACCCGAATGGTCCAATACCAATTCCATGATCAGGTCAGAAGCAAGAACCCTTGCAGCCGAGTTCAATGCATCTTTGGAGTTGTGGGGAGCGGTGTGACAGAGCTCCTTTGCGTACCCTTAAAACATCCCAAAAAGCACACCATTGAGCAATTACTCAAAAAGTAATGCTGAAGCTGCACGCACAAGGGACCCTTGTATGATTCTTATCAGTCAGTCACAGTTCTGCAGGCTCTTGGGTCTGTGAAAGCGACGTCTTCCTGGTGTACCCCCTGTGCTCTACGACTGTGTTCTCCACCTTTGTTTTTGTCACGTTTGGACATACCCACGGACATGATATTGTGTTCTTCTTGTTCCAATTGGGCCCCCACTGTGGAAATGACCAGAAACGAGATTGACATTTCCTTGGAAGCATTGAACCATTGCCGGGCGCAGCCAGGATTTCAGACGAGGGGTAAGCAATGGAGCCTGAATGCCGCCTCTCGTTGTTTTGAATGTCACTATTCCATTGTCCTAATTTGTGGGAGTGTTTTGGAAAGCCTCCCCAAACGGACGGAACCTGCAAGAAGCTGGGGGGAGTACCACTCCTCTTCATTCATCGACCTGAGAAACGCATGATGCTTGGTGATGCAGTCATTGATCGGTCGCAAGATGTTCGGGTCCTCTTATCGATTTTGAGGTAC